ATTTTATTAAAGTTAAATTCCTCCTGCAATAGAGTGAAGGTCAAGACTGAACTCATGACATTGAAAAATGGATTTCCTGAAAGGATTTTCTTGAGAAGATTTCGGGTAATTTGCTAGAAGTATTTTAATTTGTTACTATGTACTGGACTGGTGCCTAGATCCTTCCCTTTTCCTTGTGTTCATTAATTCATTATTGGAATATTTTCAATACAAGAAACATTTCTTCCAGCATCCTCAGACACTGTGTTTTATCTTGGTAGCCTTCACCCTCCTTAAATCCCACCTGCCTCCTCCATACCATAGCTAGTAAATACAGAGGTTAATTGCAATCCAGTAAGAATCCAGAGAATCACAAAGCTCAAATTATAACAAGCTCTATTTGCTATATTGATCTATTTCTTCTAAAGAGATAAAGAAACACCACCGCAGGTATTTGGAGGAAGGCTTATGAGCAAGATGTTTGACACATGGAACCAGCCCCTTAAATGATCTTTTCCAGTACTACTTTATTATAATTTTGCTTTAGCCCACTTGTCTCCGAGCACCCCTGCTGAAATATGAATGGACAGGCCAGCCAGTGGCTGGCTTCTCCTTGGTAGTTGTGGGGACATAGTCTCCGTTCTGCTCCTTAGGGGACACAGTGTTAAATGTGGTGAAATATCACCGGGGAGTTGAAGCATATTGCTCCAGGTGCCTTTCTCTATGCTTAATTGAACTTGTACTTTCATTTCAAGGGAATGGCATTGGAAATGTTTTTCACAGACTGTGAAGTGCTGCACGCCACACCACTTCCCGTACTGCCGTCTAAACAGTCATTCGTGTCAGCCAGGGACAGGAAAGGCACACCTTACCTCCAAGAATCCAATTCTCAGAGAACCTTTTATTTTCATTTATTGTTTGTGTAAAACAAAAAAAAATCATATTACTTTATTCTTTAGTAATTGCCTGTTTTTTCATTTCGGCTGAATTTACCTCAGATTACAAGAGGAAATGTCATCCCACATAAAATTGCCATGTAGTTCCCTATTGATCAGAAGCTGTATTGATCTCTGGCAGTGCCAGGCCTTTTTCTCACTGGTGTGGTCTGCTTAGAATGAACTGCATAGGTGGGAAGGAGGTGGAGCGGAGTGGTCCACGTACGTGAGTGTGAGGCACATTACTAGGGCTGCATGGACACTCAGACTAAAGGAAAGAGTCCCCCACAACACAGTCCTAGGCATTTCACCAGAATGTCTTTTTCTTAACCAACCACAACAAAGCCAGGAGCAAAAATTCAGTGTATTGTACCTGATAGACTCAGCCAGAGGCATGTCGTACAGCAGTTGAGATCTGTAGTCATTTGAGACAGCAAAACTGGGCTCTCCACTACGCATCAATTTTCTGTATTTATTGATTAGCCAAGGGTTCTTTTTGTACTATGAAGATATAACAAAGAAAATGTTTCTAGTATATATATTATACACATAAAATATATCTAGTATATGTACATATGTACATGCATATATACTGACGAATACATAAAAAATTACAACACTGCCATACCAAAATTTGACCTGCTAAAGAAAAATTTAGCCAAATAAGTTTATGTATAACTTATGCTGTATAACTTATGACCCATTTTACATGGGTCACATCTAGCAAAGAATGGGTCATCTAGCAAAGAATAGGAAATTACTGGCAAAGCCACAATTAGAACTTAGACATGGATTAAGACTCATGATTTGATGCCCAAGGCTTTGGCCTTGATTAGCTATTTGTCTCCAGAGATAGATAATAGATTGGATAGACAGATACATAGATACATAGTTAGATAGATACATATATATATGCATACATACATTTATGCATACATATAGACATACAAAGACAGATATATACATAGATACATGCATGCATGCATGCATACCTGCATACATGCATACCTAGACACATAGATAGATACATAGATGATAGATATACTTACATTCATACATATATACATATATAGATTCATAGATATATAGATGTTATAGATATGTAATCTATACCTATATAGATTGGCAGATGATAGCTGCATAGATATATAGATGATAGATGAACTAGCCATATTTAGAGAGATGGTAGATAATCTCTGTATAAAATACTTTTATCTAGACTTCTGCCATCTCTTCTGCTCAATATACAAGTAAAGCCATCATGCAGAATCACCCATTGGCCACAGCTTCATACCAGATTTGTGTATTTTTTTTGTTCACAAACAATGCTGCCAACCTTACTAATAATGACTAGAGCTGGGAGAGCCTGGAGAGGGGAATCCAGCTCCTAATGCATTAATTCTCAGGCCTCTTTCTGTCTATACTGCCCATCTGGTAACACTGATAGACAGGGAAAAAAGATGCTCTTCTGCTGCCTGCTGCATAGACAGGGTAGTTTGCATGTACCCATTAGTGTTTGCCTGGGATAGATCCATAAACACCACTCTTTACTTCACTCCTGTCCACCCCCCCTCCACTCCTCCACCCCCCACCCCACCCTACCCCCTGCTGCACCTAAGCCTTTCTTCAAACATGGCTGCCCACACTGTCTGGGTCTAGTCCCAGAGAAACATAGCTCTTCTTTTCTCCACTAGAGTCATGCCTGGAACAGCTCTCATTTCTACAGCCTCCTTCCTCTTTCCTCCCAACCGTCCTGAGTAAGATAAAATGCAATGATAGCAGCATGCTAGAGTACCCAATATGCTCCTTGTGCAAGCTTGGTTAAACAAATTACATTGACCTTTAATAAAAATGTGTAGATTGCATCCTTCTCTCATTCAATATGTTAATCTTCAAGCCAAACCACTGTCAGACCAAGCCTCATTAAATGCAAATCTGATCATGCTATCCTTGACTTCAGTGGCTCCAAATTGCCTCCAGAATGGAACTCCAAACTCCCAATAATGCAGACAAGGCCCACTCTGCCAGCCTCATTGCCCATGATCTCCCTTCTCTTCAAGAGATTACATTAACTACTGGGTGGCCCAAGCTGCTGTTGTCCCCAAGGCTCCTTTGCATGTCTCTGTCAATAGCATCCTTGGAGCCTCCCACCCCACACCAGCCACACACTGTTACATCAAGTCATCCAGAGCAGGTCAGCTCCTCCATTCATCCTTTCCTGAGTTTCCCAACTCCAGCCAGAACTGACATCCTCCCTCTGAGCTGTGCAGGCCTGTGGCACTGCCTCTATGATTCGTTATGACCTGCTCATCTAGCATCTGATACATAGGGGCCTGAGAAACAGGCACAGACAAATGAAGAATGCCCAACAAAAGCTGATCGTGCCCTTGACTGGTCCAATTCCAGAAGACAGGGATTCACAGGAAATACAGCACTGAGAGGAGCAAGAAGACAATAGCAATCAGTAACAGAACCTGAAAAGAAACGGCCAGAAAGATGAGAACACCAACTACCAGGAGATGCCAGGAGAGAATAATAGCATGCAGGCAAAGACAGGAAAGAGGAGGGATTGAAGATAGAGAGGAAGGGTGAGAGGTTCATTGCCGTTTCCTGAGATTTTAAAACTTGAGAAAGCCAGGCGCCAGTGGCTCATGCCTGTGATCCTGTCTACTCAGGGGGCTGGAATCTGAGGATCTTGGTTCAAAGCCAGTCCAGACAGCAAAGTCCCCATGAGACACTTATCTCCAATTAACCACTCAAAAACTGGAAGTGGTGCACTGTGACTCAAAGTGATAGAGTGCTAGCCTTAAGCAAAAAGAGCTCAGGGACAGCAAATGAAAAAAGAGAGAGAGAGAATACTTACAATTTTCTAAATATTCAACCAATGTACTTAATTTTAAAAACAGAAATATACTAAAATACCTATCATAATTGCTTTTAGATTATTAGAATTGTATCATTGATATCTCTTTTTCCAGATAATCATATATAATGCTTTTTTAATGAAAAACTTTATTTCATAACAAAATATATAGAAGTTTGAACACCTCAAATAAATGTAAAAGGCTCTCCAAATGAGCTCAAAGAGAAGATACACACACACACACACACACACACACACACACACACACACACTGAAAACAGTCATTGAACTGAAGCATTTCATATTTGTGGCAAGATTTGGACTGATCCTTTTTCTTTCCATACATATTTTCTAGGAGTTCTTTTAATTAAGCGATGTTAAATAAAGAGTAGTGGTTGGACAATTTTTCAGCACATCGTGAAGCCTTTATTCATGTCATTGTGATCTTAGATAAAACAATAAAGACTCTTCAGAGTTCTTGTGTTGGATGGTATTATTTACAATTCACTGATGTTCACCATCCCATTCAGCTGTCTCAAATCACTGACATCAGCCTGAGCCATGTGACTTCCTTGGCTACAAAGAAATATAAATGGGAGTGGCTGACACGTGCCACTTCCAAAACGGAAGAGTTTAGAGCCACCATGTTTCACCATGTCTGTGGCCAGACAGTGGCTGCTCTCAGAGCCTGGATTGCAAAATAAAATAAAATGAAAGACAAAAAAAAATAGACAAAATGACATCAAGGGAAGCCATTAACCAACCTGGAATGGACACATGACTTTGAGCAATAAATAAAACTTTATTGTTAAAAATATATGAAGCCAGGTGCTGGTGGCTCGCACCTGTAATCCTAGCTACTCAAGAGGCTGAGATCTGAGGATCATGGTTCAAAGCCAACCTGGGCATGAAAGTCCATGAGACTCTTATCTCCAATAAACTACCAGAAAACCAGAAGTGGCATTGTGGCTCAAGTGGTAGAGAGCTAGCCTTGAGCTAAAGGGCTGAGGGACAGTTCTCAGGCCCAGAGTTCAAGCCCCACGACTGACAAAAGAAAAAAAATATATGAGATGGGAGGGAGGGAGGGAGGGAGGGAGGGAGGGAGGGAGGGAGGGACAGGCGGTTTACTGCAGCCTATTCTGACAGATATATTCTTCTGGCTAGTAACTACACATCAGCACTTTCTCAAATAGATCTAATGTCTTACTTCCCTTCTTCTCTAGATGATGCATATTTACTACAGGGACTTAATATAGAGGAATTATATCCAGAGACCTCGAGTTTCATTACTTACGATGGGTCAATGACGATCCCTCCCTGCTATGAGACAGCCAGTTGGATAATAATGAACAAACCTGTCTACATAACCAGGATGCAGGTGAGCTTACCAGTTAGCTAGTGGGGAAGGTGATGTGAGGACTGGATTTATTTTATGCCATTTGTGTTCATGTCCTTGGGTTGTTGAAATCAGGTGCCACACCCGGGGGGGGGGCGTGGCAGGGAGATCATAAACAAACTTCTTCCTCACAGTTCTGGAAGCTACAAATTCAAGATCAGGCTGTCAGAATAGTTGATTCTTCCCAAGAGAAACAAGAAAAGGCTACTCCAGACTCTCCCCTGGCTTCTGGTGTTTTGCTGGAAATCTCCTTTGCTCCTTGACATAAGAAACATGGCCCCAATCAACCTCTGTCTTCATCTGCATCTGGTGTTCTCTGTCTGAATCTCTGTGTCTAATTTCCCCCAGCCTTCTTGAATTAGAAGAGCCCAGCTCAATTATCGCAACTTAACTTAGCTGATCCCAACTACATGACCCTGGTTCCAAGCAAGCTCAAGAGTCAACCCATGACAGCTATGTTTACAGAGCTAGAACCTTGAATGACTTAGCATGAACAAATTATAGGAGCAGCCCACCTATCTAAGGAGGGAAAAGGCAGTTAGAAAAGCAATTCATTCCTAAATTATATTCTACAACTAGACTGTTCAAAGAGTAAATGAGCAAAATGATATAGTCAAATGTGTTTGGAAATGCCGGCTTCTAACAACTGAAAAAAAAGCTATAAAAGGACTAGATGTGGTGGTATATATCTGTAGTTCCAGCTACTCAGAAATAAGAAGATTGATGTTTGAGGCCAGCATGGACAGAAATTAGCAAGATCTAGCTCTAAAACCTTCTGGGAGCCAGGCACTGGTGGCTTATGCCTGTAATCCTAGCTACTCAGGAAGCTGAGATCTGGGGATCACAGGTCAAAGCCAGCCTGGACAGGAAAGTTTGTAAGACTCTTATCTCCAATTAATCACACAAAAACTGGAAGTGGAGCTGTAACTCAAAGTGGTAGAACACTAGTGTTGAGCAGAAAAGCTCAAGGATAGCACCTAGGCCCTGAGTTCAAGCTCTACGACTGACCAAAAGAAAACAAGACAAAACAAAACTCTGGGCATGGTAGCAAATGCCTGTGATCCCAAACTACTTGGAAAGCATTGATAGGCAGTTACAGTCCATGATGATCATTGGCAAAAGCATGACACTGCCTAAAAATAGAACATCTAACAAGTATAATAATATCCAAGTTTAAACCCCATTACAAATAAATAAATAATAAGCAAGCTATATACATTTCATTATGGAAATACTTCTCTGGCCTTTTAAAAATGATATATGTGCAGTCTCCAAGAAGAGGAAACAACTCATGTGTCATTTCAAAACCGTTGAAGGTAAACTTTTATTTTTTCAGATGATCTCACAGATAATCTAGTCTTCAGAACTGGGCAGGAACTTGCTAAGTAGCTTCTTGTACATCTCAGGTCTAGCAATCACCTTACTTCTGAGAAACACATATTTCTTTCTTTTATTGTGAAGGGGACAAATTATACACATCTGTTCCTGTTCTTATGTTCTATGATTGCAAGTCCATAAAAAAATTAAAGGAAGAGCCAGGTATGGTGGTACATGCCAGGTATGGTGGTACATGAAGAAAAAAAAGAAAAGCTAAAAAATAAAACGATAAGTGTTACTCACATTGTAGAACACTTGCCTAGCAAGAGCAAAGCCCTGAGTTCAATCCCTGATACTGCCAACTCAATCAATAAATCCATCAACCAATACATGAATGAATGAATGGAAAAATTGAACAAATGAAGTGGAACCCAGGCTCTTTAGTGGGATATTCATTTACACACCAACAATAATTGGAACAGTTTGAAGCCCTGCATTTTAATAGTGTTGTTTGGTACTTGATGACTAACAAGCAACAGTAGCCCTCTAAAGACAGCTTAAGTTTACAAAAAGAATTTATTTAAGCAGTACTGGGATATCTTATGAAATTTTAAGATCAAAAACTGATATGAAATCTGGAATCCGAATGTTTGAAGCCACCCCTCTCTTCTTACCATACATAGGCAACGGTTGTTTCTCCCTTAATAGACCTATGATAGAACGTAGTCCTGATATTCACAGAAAACGAACTACATTGCTCCATAATTTAGCTCTGACCTATAGCCCAGTCACTATGGCCTGGATAATAACTATGGGGGGGGGGTGTCAGTGATTTATTGAACCACAGGGCATTGTAGAAAGACACTTATCTGTATTTCTTCCTTAGACAGGCAGAGAGCACATTTGTTCTAGTGTGCTAAAAACAACCCCCCCTCTCTCTCCCACCCTCTCTCCCTCCTTCCCACTCTCCCTCTCCCCCCACACACACACCCCCAGAGAATTTCATGCACTTTAGGTCACAAGGGCTCTGAGGGCCTCAGCCTGGCCCCGCCTTACTTCCTCCTGAGGGCGTGGTCAGGACAGGTGGGTCTCACAGCTCTTTCCTTTTCCTCAGATGCATTCCTTACGCCTACTCAGCCAGAATCAGCCATCACAGATCTTTCTGAGCATGAGTGACAACTTCAGGCCTGTCCAGCCACTGAACAATCGCTGCATCCGCACCAACATCAACTTCAGTTTACAGGGGAAGGACTGTCCAAACAACCGAGCCCAGAAGCTGCAGTATAGAGGTGGGTGCAGAGGCTCCAGGAACACAGGCTGGAGCTGGAGCTTTGAACTCAGATCTGTTCTTTAAAAGCCTGGCATGGTCCACGGATACAGGGATCCCATCAGTAAGAGCAATCCACATTTGCAGGGTCCAGTCCTTTTCTGGAGCAATAAAGCTGCTTCTATATGATACGAAGTTGAAGGTGATCGACATATAAGGTTTGATAGACATGATATATACCTACACTTATACTGAAGGTTTCATGTAACATGTTTCAAACCTTTGAGGCCCCTGGATTTCAGGAAGACAGACATCTTGTTTGGAGGAGGGGAGGGTGCCAGGCTGGCACTTGAACTTGGGGCCTGAGCACTGTCTTTGAGCTTCTTCTACTCAAGGTTAGCACTCTGCCACTTGAGCTATAGCCCCACTTTCAGCTATTTCTGAGTAATTTATTAGAGATTTTAAAAAGTCTCACGGAATTTCCTGCTAGGGCTGGCTTCAAACTATAATCCTCAGATCTCCACCTCATGGGTAGCTAGGATTACAGCCGTGAGCTACCAGTGTCCAGCAAGGCAGCCCTTTTTATAGCTACATTAGAGCCCAGAAAGACTAGTTTCTCCAAGGTTATATATTAGAACAGAATAACAAGAAGCATTAGCACTTTTGATTGCATCTCTTAGACAGTAAGCAAATTTCTTGGGTGCCAGGCAATTTGATTCAATAAGGACTGGGAAGATGTGTCTTTATCCAGTGCTATGTCCTTACAAGTGATTGCTATTCCTACTAGTGAAGGTGACTTTTGCCTCCTGTGCCCCTCTAGTCAACATGTGGCCCTCTCTCTCTTCCCTTTTGTGCACCAACTAAGTATGTGTCAATTGCTGTCATAGGCTCTCGGTGTAGAAAAGGCTAGGAAGGCAGGACAGAGACTCCGAGATGATCTGGACTGGAAGTCAGGACACTTGAGATGAAGACCTTGCTCTAACAAGCCATGCAAATTTAGTTAGGACAGATATCCCACTAGACCTGGCCTCTTCCTGACAGTTCCATGCTGGTCTGCTTCAGAGCTTGAGGGACAAATGAGAGGCTGGATGGGGAGGCCCTTTGTAGCCACAACATACTCCCCATACAAGACTGTGGCTATCATCAGAAAGCTTTTAGAACCCAACACCAGTGGCTGTAATCCTAGCTACTCAGGAGGCTGAGTCTCAGGATCATGGTTCAAAGCCAGCCTGGGCAGGAAAGTCCATGAGACTCTTATCTCCAATAAACCACCAGAAAACTGGAAGTGTCTCTGTGGCTCAAAGTGGTAGATAGCTAGCTTTTAACAAAATAGGTCAGAAACAGTGCCCAGGCCCGGAGTTCAAGCCCCACAACCAACAAGAAAAAGAAAGAAGGAAAGAAATGAAGAAAGGAAGGAATGAAGAAAGAAAGGAAGAAAGAAAGAAAGAAGGAAGGAAGGAAGAGCAAGAAAGAAAAACTTTTAGAAGCAGTTACCACTTGCACCACTTCCCCCTTGTTCCGTTACTTTGCTCTCACTCACCAAGTTCCCAAGCTACAGATTTCTTGCTCTGGAGTTAGTAATAGTAGTAGCAGTAGTAGTGGTAGCAACAGCAGTGGTAGTAGTTGTTCATTGACCTTCTCTTTATTCCCACATATATCTATTGGGTATCTACTATATGCCAGGCTCTTAGAGATGGTAATGCAGAGGTGATGAAGGCAGATAAAGCCCTGACCATACAGCGCTTACAATCTACACCAAGAATCAGACACTATTCTGCAAAGGGGCAGTGAACAAATATGTCAAGCTTTGTAGGTCATATAGCCTCTGCCTTTAATGATGCTATAGGAAATCAGCCATAGATGATAAGCAAGTTTATGGTCATGGTTGTACTTCTAAGACTTTCAGGTAACCTGTTGGGTTTGGGAGACTGGGGTGAAGTGTTCTACCCACCTCCCCGATCTAGACCTGGGCCACCTACTAGAACTTTCTGTCTAGTAGATATTTCTATTATCCAATACACTAGCTATTAGCTCTGTGGCTCCTATAGCTGACCAATATACAGCAAACCACTATCTATGGAATGCTTGAAGTGAGGCTATTTTGATGATTCAAGCAAAATTTTAACTTTAATTCATTTAGAGTTCATGGTAGTATTATGTGACTAATTGCTACCATAATGGAAAATGGGCCTAGAGGTTATGGAGAAGGGGAAACGTATTTGAAATGCAAATACATAATAAGCAAGTATTACAGAATAACCCCTTCCTCTTTGGAATAAGTCCCCCAAATCCTATATACACATTGATTTAGTTATGCTTTGATGTGTTTGTGTGTGTGTGTGTTTATGTATGTGTATGTGTGGTTTTGTTTGTCTCTCTCTCTCTCTCTTTTCAGTGAATGAATGGCTCCTCAAGTAGGGAATTAAGCCAAGAAGAATCCCACCTCAGTGAAATGCTACAACTGTGAATTGACGTAACCTAGAAAGAACCCCCCTTCTTTCTTCTCTGTCCTTCCTTCCCCCACGCTCATTCACTCTTTGGATTGGTCCCTTCTTCATGAAGAGTCTACAAAACCATGGCAGAGGAATGAATGCATCTCTTAAACACATGCCCAAACAACAACAACAACAACAACAACAACACACACACACACACACACACACACACACACACACCCTTATGATGAAAGAAGTCAAGTTTCAGAAACAGAAGGTTCATTCCTAAGCGGTCTTACAAAATAATAATAATAACCAGTCAACCTGATTAAAATTTTGATACTGTTTCCTGAACTAACAAATCTACCCAATGAGACTTTTCAACCTTTGTACATACAAAATTCTTCTGAAAAGAGAAGGAGAAAGAGGAGGAAACACAGCTCTGAAAACATCTATCAGAATGCATCAGGTCATCTTCGGTTGTGTCCTAGGATCTTTTGAGGATGCTGGCAATAGGACAAAATGGACCATGGACACTTATTTCTAGATTATGATTCTTCTGTTTACTCAACAATTGAAAAAAAAACAAGGACCGACATCAAAGAGCTACCCATTGTATATATTTCACCGCAGACTATAAAGAAATGGAATTATTTCCCTCTTTGTCACATATCTGTAGTAGGATTTGCCAAGATCAGAATTGATCCATTTGCTGTTTCTTGTTTTCCAAAGGTCAGACATTGTGTTGGGTTACTGTTAACAGCTCCAATAAATGTGTTTAACGAGTTAATTTCATTTTGCTGGCTCGGGTCTGTTCTCCTTCCTTCCAGGCTGAGCCCTGGCACCATGCAACTATCTTCTTTGATCTTGTGTGTTTCTGCATTCTCCATATTTTGTTCATTTGTAGCCAGTTCTACTGAGTTTGTGGCAAACAGGAATGCATTTGCTAAGCAAGTATAACTTTTAATTCCACTCCATGGCTTGATCATTCATTATGAGGTGAGCTTTCAGCCTGACCTAGCAGGCCACATTCCTTGCGTCTCAAGACTGCCATTCCCCCACCCTCCCCAGCCCGCCCCACCCCACCCTGTGATGCTCCCTGAAGGAATGCACTCTGCCTTGTAAATTCCTGGGAAAATGGGTGTCTTTTTCTCTCCAGGTGCAGACAGATCTCACAAAGTACAAACGAATGCCTTTCTTTTCTTGTTTCTAATGGTCACTCACTGTGTTTGGTTACTGTCAAAAAAAAAAAAGAAAGAAATCAATAAATGTGTTTAACAAGTTACTCAGTACCCCTGTCTGAGTTTATTGGGAAGAAGGATGCTCCCTGCTGAAGTCCCTGAGCCCTGCTGGGTCCACAAGCAATTGCATCCAGTAAGCTGGACAGGCAAAGCTGCTAGAACAGCCTGACTGGCTGGTCCCAGAGCCAGGTAATTAATACCCTGTTGAGAAAACATATAGGCTGAGCTGCTGGAAGGAAGACTTGGATGTTCGTTCGGTGGCCAAATTAAAAATAACTTGCATCTCTCCTTTCTGACCCAATCTCCACCAAGAAGGGAAATGTAGACATGCAGAGCCTGTGCCAATGAGAATATTCACACTGGAAATCCACCAAGCCACAAGGTACTCCCAGGACGAAAACTTCAAACACAATCTAAAATAATACCCTTCACTGAATTTTCTTTTTCACGGTTTTCAGCAGGGTGGGTCACAGCATAAGCTTAGCCATGAGGTCATCTAGAGGCATTCTAAGCAATTGTATTTTTTTCCAGAAAAAAAAAAAAGGTTTCAAGTAAGCAGCTGTCATTCTTGGCTTTGTGTGGCTCCCTGATTCCTCCCTAAGTCAGAATCTTCTTTCCTCTCCAAGGGCAGGCACGAAAGAATGGCTGAAGAATGTGAATAGCAAATCAGCCTCATGACTTGACCATGCCTACTACGCGGCTCTGAGCAGGTTACATCTCTGCACGTGAGGGTTCTCTAAATGGTATTTAAAGAGCACTTGTTCACCTATTACTAGAAGTCTAGCCTATGGTATCTCCCTTCCCAGGAAAGGCTTAGCATCAGCCACAGTGGGCACATTACATTAAGCTCAACAAGAGTACCAGGTACTTAGTAAACAGAAAGAAAAGAAAAACATAACTGCCTAAAGTATGTGGAGGAAGGAGTGGAGAAGAAGACAGGGTGGTCTGGGTTCCAAAGCCCTGTTCTTGTGTCCATCTTCCTCTGTACCTTTGGGTAAGTGGACTTCCCTCCCTGAGGCTGAATCCTTACCTATAAACCATTTGGCCAAGACAGCCTTCCATGGCCTTTCTACGTTATCATCCCCCAAATGTGTCTCTCATTCAGGCTCTTCAGCTCATGGGGGAAATGCAGGCAATCATCCTTGGGATCCGTGGGCATGGGCAGAATTTCATCATGGCCCAGAAGAATTCAAATCAGAGTGAATTGGTCCCCGCCTTGTATCTGTTTTCTAGGCCTGTCTTTTTCTGCACCTACTGTGTTTCCTCAACTAGACAATGGTTTGATAGGCATAGCCACATGGGAGTAGTAAAAAGTAGTTAGATTAGTACCTCTCAACAACAACAACAATAATAATAAAGTGCTGAAATCCCTGGGATTTGGCATGGTGAAGACTTTTAGGAACAAAAAGGGCTCTGGAAGGGGCAGGCTCTATGCTCTGCAGTGGGTATCCATGAACTAGTTTGCTGTGTGAACCCCAGACTGACATCGGCATCCTTTCCACCCTGGAAGGAGATCTCCAATGCTCAGGAAACTCATCGAATTGCATCCTCTGGGGTATGCTGGAAGAAGGTAAACATGCCTTCAAGATAACCATGGGGAAAATTAAATGGAAAAAGAAAACCCAGTGTAGAAACCCATAACTCCTTCTGAGGACCACGTGTGTAGTTTCTGAACCTTGTTCCTATCTCTCTGGGTAGCGGTTTGCTTTCCATGATGATGTCAGAACAGCCACAGCCAGCTGTGTGGAATGTGTCTGGAATCCAGAGCAGGACAGTGAGAAGATGTCAGGGAATCTAGACGCCACGGGCATCATCTGTCACAGCCCAGGCCAGCTAGATATAAAGCTGGCGTGATGATGACGATGTAGTAAACATGCACCAACAACCCCAAAGTGGATCCTTGCTGTTGGAGCCCAGAAAGCAGAAAGAGCTCTTGAGAGGGTCCCAATTCCTCTGTACTAGAAAGTCTAAGGAGTGGCTTGCATACCCTGAACGCCTAGCAGACTGAACATAGAGAGGGGGGAAAAATCTGCCAAGGACCAGCCAGGGAAATCTTGACAAAACTCACCCCGGGTTTGCACATGTCTTGTGACCTGAGACCTATGCTATACAGATGGCAAAAGTCCTCTCCTTTCACTCACTCACTCCTGCTTGTCTGTCCTTGTGCAAAATGCGGAACTGGATTCTCAATGAAGGAAGTGACTGGCTCAGGGTCACACAGCTCCTACATGTTTGGAAAGCCAGATCCAACTCTTACAGGTGGTTCCTGAAGTATGGCTCCAACCATCACAGCCTCTCACGAGCTGATGAATCTGCAACTGATCCACTGAGGGTGAAGTTTAGCACCAGTGTTTCAACAAACCCCAAGTGGCTCTGGTACACACTCCAGTGTGAAACCACTGTAAGTCAAACATTTATTCCTACCAACTCCCACCTTGGGGGTTCTCAGACTTTGGCATAGGTTAGAATCTTCTTAGCTCACACCCTCCAAGCAAATGGAATAGATGCTATTTGGCCTTTCTTTAAGGCCAAATAGCATTCCATTGTATGTCTACCTCATGTACATTATCCATTCTTCTGTCAATAGACCGTTAGGGATTTTTTTCTCCTTATCTTTGCTATTGTGGATAATGTTGCAATGAATGTCAGAGTGTAGGTATCTTTTCATGGTCATGATTGCAGTTCTCTGGGGTGTATACCTAGAGATGGGAGAGAGCTGGATCAAAGAGTAGTTTTCATTTTTCATGGAATTTCCCTGCTGTTTTCCATAGTAGCTACAGTAATTTGCATTCTCACCAATAGTGTGCAAGGGTTCCCCTTCTCCACATCATTGCCAACATTTTATCTTTTGTTTTCTCCACCATTGTAATTCTAACAAGTTCAAGGTGATACTTGCATAGCTTCAATTTGCATTTCCCTTTGAAACATGTGTCACATGCCTGCTTGCCATTTGCATGCTGTTCTCTTTGGAGACATAACATCATATTTTACTTGCACTGTTTTGGTTTTGCTATTGGGTTGTGGAAGTGCTACACAAGATGATTCAGATATAGAAGAACAAACTCACCCCAATCCCACTTACGTTAGGATTTAACACCGCCAAATGAAGCACAGTCAAGATCACCGTTTGTGAGCGCGCTACAACCAGAAAGCTAGAGCAAAGGTTAGATTAGTAGCTACCCTTCTGATGCTAGAGAAGCCACAGGTGAACATTCTGTTGATGATGACAGAATGGAAAGATTCTTCCCTTTGGGTCCCTAGGCACGTAGTCTTATTCTTTACAGTGGAGCTGTGGTCTGAATGCCTTTCCCATCCAACCCACACCACACCACACCATCCATACATTGAAATTCTAAGCTTCAAGGTGATCAAGGAAATGAGGCCTGTGGGGTGTGGTTAGGTCATGGTGGTGGAACCTCACAGATAGGATTAACACCAGTATAGAGCAAGCTTATGGGAGACATTTCTCAGCCCTTCTACCATTGAAGACACAACAGGAAGACATCATCTATAAACTAAAAGCAATGGGTCTCACCAGAATTGTTAGAAATAAAGTTCCATCATTTGTAAAGCATCAGCTTATTGATACCTTGTTATAACAACCCAACCGGACTATGGCATGACTGAAGGTACAGAAATTTGTCATAGGTCCCCAGCATCAGACAAGTTAAATTAGGTTCTCTGACTATGAATCCAGGTCATCCATGGAGAATTTTTGAAGCCACAGATAATTTACTTTGCCATCTACAGTGTTATCTGCCCATTAGAATCACTTAAGGTGCTTGTTCTGATTATTATTGCTAATTTTCAAACTTCCCCTGGTTACTCTGATACCTATCATTGTCCACACAGATACAGATGCAAAAGGTTACACATATACATAGGCTACTGACTCTCAGAAAGACAATCACCAAGAATGGCAGAATAGAAAGCTGAGAAGAAAAAAAAGAACAATACTCCCAGGTTGGTAGTTGCTAACCCAGGAATCCACTGAGCTATGCTAGTCGGGCTCTTGCATCGATGAGGATACTCAGCCCTGCCAGCCAATTGAATCCAAAGATAATGAATGGTTACATTCAGCAAGAATTCAGAGGACAAAACTAGAGCCAAACTGACACTATGCCCACGCCCTCATACGAGTGAGTGGAAGCCTTGCCCCCACATCAGACAACAAGATAAGACAGTTCTGCCTCCTGGTCTTAAGAGGTCTCATGAGTGAAATGGATAAAATTATTTATTTTCTCATAGCCAAACAGACTATGAAAAACAAAAGTAGAAAGAAAAAAAGGTGCAGAAAAAGCTTAGAGACTAGTAAATGCTTCTGTGCCCATGAATGCAGATGCAATGGAGGGGGGTGGGGGGTAATACCACGAGGACCCTGCAGCAACAGGCTTTGTCCTCCAAGAACTTAGTGGAAAAGCCTTGACAGACTTTAGATAGACTTCCCCCATACACACGTTAGAAATAAAAACTCAAGTTTGTTGCATCTGAAGAAATACTTTTGAGAGCTGGGAATTGGGGAAGGGGAAGGAAAGACTATCTAGCGAATTGTAG